GATGTGTTTACAATACGACTTACATGAAATGGCAGTGCAATAATCAGAGAACGCTGATTGGTTTGCTGAATCTCTTAATCGCTTTTTGCGAAACCCACGAGAAGAGGTGGGTGGTGATTTTCAAAAACAACCCTAAGCACGGCGTTTTACATCACTGATAGATGCTTATAATACTGTATTTCGTTTCACAGCAGAAACAGGAATCAAGATGGCATCTACCTTTACAGGCTATCAATACGTCGTAAGCAACACTAATTAGAATCATTTATAAAATCTGCCAATTGTACCTTAGATGATGTGCTCTTTTATTTGATTATTAGATATGGTTTACTCTACTATAAACTTTTAAAGACCAATTATTTTAAAATTTATGGATTATTTAGCCAATTGAGAGTAAGTTTTGTATAGTTATAAGCACATCAGGTACACTTTTCAATAAGTTGTACAAGCATATTTACCAAATGTCTCAGTGTGCTATATTCACTCATATCTTTATAGTTCAATTGCTGTATACTTAATATAGTTTTCGTTGTAGTATAGTATAGTATAGTATAGCCTTCATCACTTCAACAATTTTACAAGTCAAAATTATTTATTTTATTGCTACATGTTTTAACTTGTTTCTTTGAACAAAGAAAAGTACAAAGTACTTAATTACTAGTACTTACTTGTTATTAAAAAGTATCATTGCTTTATTGTAAACATAATCATATGAAACCGATCTTAACTGAGATAAACAGTGGATAGACTCAAAGCTGTCTTGCTTATAATTTAGGAAAAATTAAAAAATTAGGAAACACGAAGAACTGAAGTGAGGAGAGGAACAATGTTTTAGATTTATATGATAAAAATTTAACATAGACATAAACATAACTCTATTATTTACTAAATTAGGGCATAGTTGATGTAGGTCCCAAACCATTGCGTCCACGTTGCAAAAATAGGACCGGACTTATCGCTTCCGACCGTCGTGGCTACGATGCTCGGCAGCGACGAGCCCTGGCAGGCGATGCGACTTCTGCGAGTCCACCATCTCGCGGAAATAGGTGGCGGATCGGGAGAGGGAGAGCTTTTCTTCCCTCTCGGCGCCATGCCGCCGCCGCCGAGCCGGGAGTTGGAGGTCCGGCCCCTGTGAGGTGGCAGTCTCCTCCCGGTGATGGTCACGGGGCGAGTTAAGGGGGTTGGGCTGCCGCTAGCGTCACTAGCGCGCTGGCACCAGGAGGACGAGACGACGCGTCGGCGGCTGCAGCCCGTGATGCGGTCCGCATTGTCGTCGTCGCTGTAGTCGTCGAATATACCGTGGAAGAGCAACCCGGTCGGTGGTGTATCGCGCTCCGACCCGGCAGGCTGGTTCTGACCCAGCGGGGTATCCTGGAACACCAGCGGCATCGCCCGGGCGGCCTGGTAGGGCTGCCGTAACGCGGAGACCTACTTGGTCGTCGATTACCGCCTCGACAACCCGTCGGTCGGGCGTCCTCAGGGTGGTGCTGCGAGTCTGGTTGTAGTCTTGACCACGGGAAACCCCTATTCTGGCCGGGTCTTGACCCAGAATGGAGATCGGACGTCGGGTGTAAGAGTGCAGAGGAGTTTAGTGCGGTAGGGCCCTAAAAGTCCTTGGTGCCGCGGTCTGCTCGCAACATAAGCAGATCGTCAAGTCCCACATACCCCGCGCGCCCCCTAGACGCGGGGACCTCGTAGGAGGTTCGGCACCCGGACCGAAAAAAAAAGCGGTCCCAAACCATTACAGAATTGAAGGTTGAAGTGGAATTCTCTTAGTTTTATTAAGAATATTTAATAAAGAATTAGTAAAGAATATTTTACTACTCACAAAATGCAGATTCATGTGCAATTGGAGCTGCATTTCTATTAAATTTAGTTTGTCAATCTAAAATTACACAGGTTTGGTAAAAATTACTAAAAATGGCACAAACTGATTTTTTGCTTAGTTGGGTAAACATTTCTGAATAATAATTTTCAAATATAAATGAGGATTCAGTTTGGACAGAGAGTGCTTTTGAAAATTGACCAATTTAGGTATCGATGATGTAGTGGACATAATATGCCACTTGCTAAGTCTTCAACTGTACAAACACAAAAATTGTGATTATAAATTTCGTTCATACAAAACAGATAAGAAACATTTAATATTTCCACTTCGTAGTAGTTGAAAGAAAATCAAGATTATAAGAATTTTAAGTGATTTCCTGTTTGTTACGCTCTACAGTAATCAGAGTAGGCAAAACAATAATTTAATGCATAACATCAACTAAAATGTACGAATATAAACTACATTATTTATGAAAATGAAGGCAAGTTACTGAAATATGGCTCAAAAGCATAGTCACAGCACCTACATAATATAGATATTGTAGTACTGGTAGCATGTTACTCCACTACGCTTCAAAACAATTTCACTATCTAGGCAGCGGATTGGCTCTGCTCCTGGCATTGCTGAAGTCCATGGGGACGGTAACCACTTAACATCAGGTGGGCCGTACGCTCGTCTGCTTACAAAGGCAATAAAAAAAACTATTAAATACTAAAAGCTTTATGGATTTTTGGAATATAACGCAAAGATGCGTAGTGTAAATGTTACTTGGTGGTATAATAAAAATAATATACTTTAACAAATATCCAATAAATCTTGGTTTCTCAATTTTGTGAAATGTGAATATCTTAAGGTAGACAGATAAGGATGAAGCTTATATCAATAGACTGCAAATATAAAGCCAAACCTATAAACAGCTTTAATCACTTGCGTGCAACTATTAAAAAAGCAAAATATTAACCAAAGGATTACAAATCTTAGAAATAGACAGTTTGGTAAAGAAGTAGAATCATTACAATTGTTTCTATACATATACCTACTTCTAAACACAATATTCCCTTTATGGATGAAGTCTGTAATCAATTTTGTTTCAAGAACAAAGTGTGTTAAATATACTAAATCAATAATAAGCAATGGCATGACTCTTTGCATCTATCTGTATGATAAAATATTAGAATTTACATATTTATATTAGGGTTTCATTAATTTTTTCTAAAAAATTATATTCATATCTTGGAAACACAACTTTTTTAAAGCCACTTTAGTGAGGAAATTATTTATTTCCAATTTTACTTGAATTGGATATGTTAAGTACTTACTTTATTTATTTAAAATCAAGTAACAAAAATATATAAAATTAATATATAATCATTTTGTATTTTGATTGGCAACATTTATCCTCACAAATGGAGCTTTTCAACATCATTATTGATAAAGGCATAAAACCAATCAAATACTTTCAAAAAAATATTAAATTACATTAGTGTGCATTAACATTCCTTTTAAAAGTTGACTGTGATATGTTAATAATTATATTCCATTAGCTAAAACAATTTAAAAAAATTCAATCATCCAACTCATGTCCTCATGGATTTTTTCTAAGCAATGTTAAAGGTTACGCATTTCAGCATACAGTAGATGCTGCTGAAACAGGACTAGGTTTAGTTTCAATCATCATTGCAGCTTTTACAACATTGTCTACAAATGTTTTGGATTCTTTCAAGTACCAATTCTATCTAATCACGTTTATTTTTAAAAACTTGCATAATAGTAAAAACTATAATAATGATCTACTATAAACTTCTCTTTTTTAATAAACCTTGGTTAATTGAACTTTTGGTTTGTTTATGCAAAATCTGATTTTTTTCATTTTCCCCATGCAATCTATTCACATTTAGTGTTATGATGGTGAATCAACTGATTATTTTTTTAACTCTGAACTAAATTCAAGACAGTTTTCCACGAGATTACCAGAATATTCAGGTAATAAAAGTGGAACAAGGATAAATAGTCCAGTAGGGTCTAAAATTAATGCTATTTTCTATATAGATAATTGCATAATATTATTCCTCAGTTTTTATTTATACGTATAAAATTTGTTTGCAATTTCAGTTCATGTTAAAAGATTTAATTGAACTATATCTACTTTTTCTGCTATCAGTCTAGTTTTAATTATGATACAAAAATAAGTATTTACCTGACATTGATAAGGTTGAATATTTACATTTTTTATGTTTAATAAATGGAGACAGACAACGCCATCTTTCTACGCAATAGTACACTAATAAGCCAGTGATTATTTGCAATGCAAAGTTTGAAGCCTTGACTGTAAATTTCTAAGAATCTTTGAAACACCATTTAAAGGGTAGCACTAAAATTTATTTTTTGAAGAAATCAATTTGCTGATTACATAAATATGTTTATCTTATTCTTTTACCATTTTTTTAATCCTCTTCATATTAAATTACAAATTGAATTAAGTATATTTATTTATTTATTTTATAATAGATTTTCTGATACTTTTCGTTCTTTTTTTTTTCACGACAAAAATGTTATATAGAAAGTATCTGCTGTTTGGATTTTCTAACTGTATAGTCTTATTTTAAAAACATTTTCGATTTAATTTCAAATTGTGTTTACAATATCCAAAATATCATGTCACTTCACAAAATTAACACAATGTGTTGTATGTAGTAAGTAATTAAGTTTTGTCTTTTGTGAAAAGACAGAATAACCGTTATTTAGTGAAAATTTAATTGGTTAATATAATAACTTTATTCATCTTTCATGATTAAAAGTTCATATCTACAGATTGAAAATAATCTCAAGAGGTAACCAAGAAAACAATACGTTATGAAACTTAACCCCAAGAGAATCGTAAAATACCTCAACAATAAGAACGAATTCTCTAATTATAGACGTATGAAATGTAAATCTGTGAAAATAACACAGTAATTTTTCTAGATGTTGACGTGGCGTGACATTGCGGGGTACCTATCAGGACGACATTCTTAAATATTTGATAAGTAGTCAGTTTATACGATCAGAAAACAGTTTTGTTGCTTTATAAACAATATTTAGCAGTTTCATTTCAATAATGAGTTATAAGTATGGCGCCTGACATTGTTGGCTTATCTTTATTTTGGTTCAACAATATGGCGATGGTACTTACCCTGTTATTTCTAAGAAAATCTTCTATAGCTTTCAGTGCAGAATCCGTTAATTTCACAAACACTAGTTCCTTGTTTTCTTTATAACTAGACTCCGATGATAACGGATACTGAACACCTGCTGGCAAGGCCGCCATTTCTTATTCACTATTCGCACTGTGGACCAGCTGACTCCTTTGCTAGTCGCCACGATTCATATCATGCACACATTTCTTAAACGTAATCACAGATTCACAACCTATATAAAATTATAATTACAACAACAAAAGGGTTTAGATGTCCAAATTAACAATCTTTTTGTAACCCCATCGACTCGGCCTTTGTTGGCAGCGCTCTTCAGTCTGCAAGGCCGCACTGACTGTCATGCGCAATGGCGCTTTTTGACAGGAAACGCGAGCATTCACCGCTACAGGCGCTACACTAGCGCCAAATAGCAGTTGGCAACAAGTCATTAATGAAATGTTGCTAACTTCAGTACTGTTGTAGAAGACAATATTGTTTCGATTTGTGTGCAATTAGTATTGAAAATTAATATAAAAATATATAACTTTAAAATTACATACATCATTCAGCTTGATGCAATAAATAGAAGGTATGTTTTGACAAACAAATGAATTTAAGAGGTTATTGTGAATGTATCTGACGTTTAGTTAAGAGGTTATATTTCAATATTAATCCAGTTTCGTAAGTTAATCATGCAACATACGTGGTGGTAACTTATTTAATTTCTTAAATAGAAATAAAGGTGACAAAAGTATATACAATATCTAGAATATTTTAAATACGTGGTGAATAATTTTAAAAAGTAAACTTTGTTAAGCACAATTTTTCAAAGAAACTAGGTAACAATATTTTTTTTATCCCTTTTACAGGATCTCCATAAATTAATCATGGCTACCTGGCAAGAAAAGAAGCATTTAATAACACGAAATTTACAAGAGGTCCTAGGTGACGATAAGCTTACTGAAATCTTAAAACAGAGAGATTTAAAAATATATTGGGGTACAGCTACTACTGGAAGACCTCATGTGGCCTATTTTGTTCCAATGTTAAAGATAGCTGATTTCTTGAAGGCTGGATGTGAGGTTACTATATTATTTGCTGATTTACATGCTTATTTGGATAATATGAAGGCTCCTTGGGAGCTTTTAGCACTCCGCACTCAATATTATGAAGCTGCTATAAAGGCAATGCTTACATCTATTGGTGTCCCACTTGAAAAACTGAAGTTTGTACGTGGTACAGAGTACCAGCTTAGTAAAGAGTATACATTAGATGTCTATAGATTATCATCGGTTGTAACAGAACATGATGCTAAGAAAGCCGGAGCAGAAGTTGTAAAACAAGTAGAACATCCATTNGCACTCCGCACTCAATATTATGAAGCTGCTATAAAGGCAATGCTTACATCTATTGGTGTCCCACTTGAAAAACTGAAGTTTGTACGTGGTACAGAGTACCAGCTTAGTAAAGAGTATACATTAGATGTCTATAGATTATCATCGGTTGTAACAGAACATGATGCTAAGAAAGCCGGAGCAGAAGTTGTAAAACAAGTAGAACATCCATTACTTAGTGGACTTCTTTATCCAAACCTCCAAGCTTTGGATGAAGAGTACTTAAAAGTTGATGCTCAATTTGGTGGAGTTGATCAAAGAAAGATATTTACAATGTCAGAAAAGTTTTTACCTCAATTAGGGTATGCAAAAAGAATTCATCTGATGAACCCTATGGTACCTGGTCTAACAGGAGGTAAAATGTCAGCCTCTGAAGCTGATAGTAAAATAGATCTATTGGACACACCAACAAATGTTAAAAAAAAGCTAAAAAAAGCTTTCTGTGAGCCTGGTAACATTAGTGATAATGGTGTGTTGTCATTCACTAAGCATGTTGTCTTCCCACTGATGAAAGAAGGTGAGACATTTAAGATAAAACGTTCTGCCGAGCATGGTGGTGATGCTAATTATTCAAAATATGAGGATTTAGAAACTGCATTTGCAAACCAAGAAATTCATCCAGGAGATTTGAAGGCTTCAGCTGAGGATGCAATAAACAAACTTTTGGCACCTATACAAGATACTTTCAACGACCCTCAATTACAAGAATTAACAAAAAAGGCTTATCCACCGCCAACAAAGGTCAAAGGTAATATTAATCAAGCTGTGGATGATGTAACTCCATCAAAACTTGATATAAGAGTAGGGCACATTGTGGAAGTGTCTAGACATCCAGATGCAGATGCTCTTTATGTAGAAAAGATTGATGTTGGTGAAGATGAACCAAGAACTATTGTTTCTGGATTAGTCAACTTTGTACCCATTGAAGAAATGCAAGACAGAGATGTTGTAGTTTTATGTAATTTGAAAGCAGCTAAAATGCGTGGAGTTGAGTCAAAGGGCATGGTTCTTTGTGCATCTGTAGATGAGCCAAAGCAAGTAGAACCACTGCTACCTCCAAAAGGAACTAAAGCTGGTGATAGAATTGTAGTAGAAGAATATGCCACTGGTGAACCTGATGAGGTTTTAAATCCCAAAAAGAAGGTTTGGGAAAAGTTGCAAGCTGATTTAAAAACGAATGATAATTTAACAGCGGTCTGGCAAGGTAATAAGTTAGTAAGTAAAATTAATGGAAACCCTGTGACTACAAAAAGCATGAAAAATGCTCCCATTAAATAATGCTTTTATGGTATTTAAGCAATATGTGCTATGTTATTTCCATTAAGTGCATTTCTGAGAAATATCTATTGTTGAATTTATATAATTTTATATATATTATGTATATTTTTTTGGTAATGTAATAAATCTAATTATTTCACTATTTTATAATTTTATTTATTATAAGTAATTTTATCCATTCTTACCTATCTCAAGATTCCATTGCAGCTCAGCAACATATGCATTTATTTTTTCTACCTATTCTAGTTACCTCGAGGGGTTATACTAGATTCTCCGGGCGAGTAGGTGAGCTCACTCAAGGGGGGCTCAAACTTGACGACGTTGCTAACACTAGTTTCAAATTAGCGCAGGCCGCGTGATCGAACACTTGCATAGGTCATAACCGGACGTATGCAAGTTTGGTAGAATGTCACCTTATTACGAAGCACATGCATGCGGAGTTTTGAGTTCTTTGGACACATTGCCAGAAAGAAAAGTGACAATTTAGAAAAGCTGCTGGCAACAGGTAAGATCTGCAGAAGACCAATGCACTGGTTGCACCAGATATGCCCTACTCTAAACACATCAGTCTGTGATACCATCCGCACAGCTGAGGTTAGACAGCTGGTGCTAAATAGTCCAGACGAAAGTTATTCAGGGAGGCCATTGCCCTCTAAAAACAATAGGAAATACTGAAAAGTTTATACCATGTACATACGTAATGTAATTGGAATAATAATGTAAAATACCCAAATATCGATATACAATTTTTTTAGTCAACCAGACAGTTTCATTTTTGTGTTTTGATGATATCTAAGACACCTGTGGCCACGAAATGGAATTTGGATGACGCTTAAATTGTTACCTTTGAGGCACTCCCATCTTATGAGCCGGAATGTACGATTTATATTCTGCAGAAATAGGTGTTTGAAACATAGCAACCCTATTTTTCTCACTGGAAGCGGAGGAGAGGCGTAGACTTTCGAGATAAAACGACGAGCAGCAACGCAAAAAAACAATCGTTGTCGGTCCCGTAAAACTACGAACTTTTGATCCGATTAATAAACCATTTAATTTTCTCCCGTGGAAAAAAAAATCACTTGTCACCGGATTAGAGACCATCCATACAATCTGTAACCATTGCGTACATCCACAGTGCGTTTCCAGAGAACTTTTGTCTACATACATACATTCTGATTTGGATTGAACTCTATGACATGTCCTTCTTAAAATAAAGTTTCAGAAGTGTCTTTAGCGGTAGCGGCTCAGCAGTACCCTTTGCAATTCCTGTGGGCCATAGTAATTACTTACTGTCAGGTGAGCCGTAGATTCGTCTGCGTACAAAGGTGATAAAATATAGGAAACTTCGAAAATTGTTATTGTGAAATAGTATGCCAATCAACGCGACAAACTAATTGTGTTGTAAAAGACAGCCTAGTGACTTTAAAATTTGTGACTAGTAGCGCTATCTACTAACGTATATTAAAGTGACATTGTAAAATTTCCAGTTTACTGTATTTTATGTTCATTTCGATTCCGTTCAAGCATCTATATTAATTTTGATATAAGCACGCCTGTTCATTATTGATAGACGACTAGTAAAAAAATAGAGACTAAAGCCCTATGTATGGATATCTTCTTGTAATATCTAGATGCGCTCAGTGATCCCGTTTAGGGCTGTCAATTCCAGGTTTTGCAAAAAAAAACCAAATATATATTTTTAGATTTTATTTTCGGCGTCGTCGGCGTCCTATAGGATAATATAGGATGTAATTTATCAAGTTTTTTTGATTAATTTTTAAGAGAATTAAACATAAAGAATAAAAATGTAAATTGATGGTACAACAGTTAAAGTTATACCTAATTTCGAATTTTATTTAGCTTTAATTTGTTGGCGAAACATAATTTCCGACTATTTCTACCCGATTAATTAGCGCTTAATAGCTAATCATTGTAATAATAATAACTAATTAATAATATTCATTGTTTCTTAACAACATAACATTGATACCCACGAAAAACTCAAATAAATTTTAGAGTTCCACATGATTTCACTTTCACAACATTCCTTTCACTAGACTTGTGTCGCATTCAAGTGAAATATAAAAATGATATGTATATTTCCAGAACAGTATAAAGTTGTATATGTCTCTCTCACTACCTGAAATTTATCTCTATATCCTTTATATCTAAAGCTCATTTCAGATGTGGTGTAGATTAGATGGATTTTTAAAGTGGAAAGAGAGTCGTTCAGTCAGATTCATCGAGTAAGATTATTTAGAACCTAAGTCAGATTGCACATCAGCTGAACAAGCTGTGGGTAATTGAATGATTAACCAAATATGAAACGTTAACGTTAAATCTGTGTAATAAGGCAAATACGGATTGCGTTGCGGATCGGTATACTACCGCGCAATCTATACTAATATTATAAAGAGGAATGATTTGTTTGTTTGTTTGTATTGAATAGCCTCCGAAACTACTAAACCGATTTGAAAAATTCTTTCACTGTTTGGAAGCTACACTATTCTCGAGTGACATAGGCTATAATCTGTTTTGAAAAAAATTAGGGATCCTTACTAAAACTCCAATAATGTAACCCAAGGTGTAAAAAATTACCGAAAATATTCTTTACATCGCGTGCCCTGCGAAAACTATCGATGATAGAATAAAATAATGTACTACGACATTGTAGAACACATTATTATTTACAAAAAGTGTCGCGACAGCATATGTGTTATGCCGCAATAAGTGTTCTTTTATTTTAAAAAATAAAACAACGTCAGAATTGAAATTTTTGTTAAAGAACCGAGCGGAGCCGGAGCGGGCCGCTAGTAGACAATAAAAACATTCAATTCAATTTTTATTTTTTTCATAATTCATCCAGTTCAGCATATCGCGTAATTTGACCCGTGCGTTGGTAAAATCTTACAGTGTTGAACATTAGCCTACTGATTTCTAAATACGCCAACCTAATTTGATTAACGCACAGTAATTCTGCAATTGCATTTATTTATCCTCATTTGATTGTCTCATGCCTGTTGAGTAGGTATTTAAGTAAATTATATATGTCTAAAAATTATTTGAAAATAAACAGTATCGTCACAGCTTTGCTTTACCTCACACTGGGCTCTATCAATCAAACATTTCAGTTTGATAAATAGCTCATTACAAAAGATTTATATCTAATTTTTATTTTCAGTGATGTGTTTTGCGCAACTCTGATTTTCACGATAAAAGTACAAATACGTCCCGTATTATTCTTTTTTTTTATTAAATAAATTATGAAATTACTAATTAGTAGTATAACAAAACGATAACTCATTAAGTTCGATTTTAAAATCGAACTTAAACATCTAGTAGCTTAAGAGTTACAATAACTTTTTTCAGTTCATTTTTGCTGAAGAACATGGAAACACAGTCGTTTGCGTTTCTCGTGTTTAAATTTTAATGTTCCGGCAATATTTTGGCATGTTCTCAGAGATTTAGTGTCCTTTTGTTAGCGTGTGATTTTCTTGAGCGTTTTTCTATAATGTTTACTGTATCAATAAGTAAATTGACTAGATTGTACTTTTCTACCCACTTATGTAAAGCTCACCCTCTTTAAAAACGGTTAGCTGGTAGATAGCTCAATTGTTGAGTTAAGCTCGCCATTTTATAACTTTTCGCAATTATTATATTTTATTAACTGTGTACTGTATTTTATTAATTATAACTGTGTACAATACAGAATAATAAAAAAAAAGTGAAGCTTAACCATGAATCTAGCCAAAAAAATAGAGCACGTGCAACTTGGTGCACGTGAAAGAAGGGTAACTTCTTTTGCGTTGTGTAGTATTATGGTTTTCTTCATTTTTCATCCTTAAATCAAATTTCTCTTGTAATAGGGAATGCTGTGTATAAAGGAAACGACCTTGCTCGCTTTGTCCTTTGCCTCTCTTCACAGTCGAGTGGTTCACGAGATGCTCTGTCTTTTTTCTCACTCTCGCTCTTCCTAAATTGTACTTTTTCTCTCCAGCCGTAACGAGTATGTCGCGAGTTAAATATTACTCTCAACGCGCCTAAAAAGTTTCACTTCAAAAAGATAACGTTAGCTCAGAAAGAAGTTGTTACTGGTTTTCGATTATAACCAAAGGAGTCCTTAGGTTTTACTTAATAATTTCTAATGGTACCTAATGTAAAACATTACAATTTTCTTTATAATGGTAAAAATATATATTCTGTATTTATAGTCTCCACTTTGTGTAAAGATTGTTCAAGTTGATTTTTCCACAAAAATATAAGATGTATTTTTCATTTTACATTTTACATTTTACAGTTTCATTTTATTCACATACCTACCTAATATGTAATTATCATTATGATAAGAAATGAAACTAAATTATTTATAGCTATCAAAACGGTCAATTAGGTACTGTATAACTATACGTCTTGGTGTATCTGTCGCAGGCAATTTGTATGATTCCGCCGTTTACAAACGGCGTCGTCATTTTAAAAACGCTCGCCATTATGTAAAATGCCGAAGGCAAAATGTATATTGCCGTGTCACTTTATAATATGCCACAACATAACATCGACAATTCAAACGCCGTTTTCATAATGCCGCGGCAAATTGAAGTATTTAGTTCATTTTTTTACCACGCGCGCCACTGTTGATCAAAACAATAAAAATGGCGTCATTTTGTGTCTCAAAAAATAACTGAAAACTGCAAATATTTCGTGTGGAGAAGACATTTTAGAAGATTTTAAAGCTTTATATTATAGTGAATTAAAAAAAATATACAATTCTCAAACGGAAGCTGTAAAAAAGCTTTGAACAAATAGTAAAATTTTTGAGGTTATCCGGCACCTAAAAAAGGCTAAGGTGGCCACAGAATCTGGTTCCCGGAGGACTCCTGCAGGTCAAAAAAATACGAGGTTATGAGCATCAGTGAATTGGACTGCCTTATTTAAAAAGGAATAGCCTTGGCAGTCCAACCGTTCGTGTAATACCGTTAGAAGAATATTACGATGTATTGTTAGAGATTCATAGAGGTTACGGACATGGTGGTCGAGACAAAATTCAGTATCCTGATAGATTGAATGAAGGATTATTATTGAGAGAAAAGCGATCGATTTATTCGTATCGTTATGTCAATTTATCTGCTTTGTAACTTAAATATTATAATGCCTTGGTGTT